GGAAGGAACTATACAGTTGGAAAAGTCATACAACAACTGTATGATATTAGGAAAGCTTCAAACCCCAAACTTGCAATGACACTCAAATTGCTTATGAATTCGACATGGGGATATTCCATTAAGAAACCTCAAGAGATGAAGAGTAAACATTATGAGAAGGTCGACAACTTTGTTGAAAGGTTTTCTCCTTTTGTTTTGAAGTACGAATTCACTCAAGGTCAAAGTGGCTTAGTAACCACATTAAAACCTATTGTCGAACATTGGTCTTACCCTCAGTTCGCAAAGGCAGTCCTTGACAACTACAACAAATTCTTCTCCGAAGTCAAATCCAAAGTGAAGGTTTACTATGAGAACATTGACGCACTCATGACGAACGAAGAAGGGTACAACAAACTCATTGAAATGGGCATGGTCGGTGAAAAGATGGGTCAATTCAAATTGGACAAAATTTTCACCGAAGTTCATGTAATATCGAAAAGGAAGTACTGGGGTGTTAAAGAAGATGGTGAAATAGTTAAACATTGCATGAAATAAAAAATTTTTATTCGAATTTGAATCGGACAGGTCGAGTTACACCATTCTTGGTCTCAAACTCATATATAACCTGTTTGTCTGTATTTTCGTCGACTATGGCACGAGACACAAACATTGACCAAACGGACAAAAAGTGTCATTTCGGATGGTCAAGCAGCCAATCGCATTCGAGCACTTCGAAGAAGCCTTACGTTCCAAGGAAGAGGGTGTCTGGTGCAAGGGAGAGGTCATGAGACTCTACGAGCAGTACATCCTCAATGCCTGGGAGGACAAATCGTCCTTGGATTGGCAAATCTACCAACTCCTCTGGGACGACCTCCTACGCAACTGGGATGACGAAAGAGTCCAATTCAAAGGTCGGGAACTAATTTTGCAAATTGACCTTAATTTCACATACTTATCCAAATAAACACCTAAATTTACTTGGGGTTTCCCCCTAAAATAAAATTTTTTTACTCTTAGAACCACTCGAGGTTCTCCTTACGGTTGTTGAGCTTGTCACCGTCAATGTGTCTGACCTTCGTCTTCTTGCCTGGATTTGGAACCCATTGAATTGCGACAAGCTTGCCCATGGAGATTGAACCGCGATTCCGAAGGTTAAGGTTCAAGTGTCCCAAGTTGTTGAGGACTGGGGTAAGAACCTTGCCTGTCTCCCTGTTGCGGATTTTGTATGGGTAGGGTTGGGAAATTTCGTAAGTGTCATCGGCAACAAGAGTTGCCCAAACTTCCTTTTCTTCGTGTTTCTCTTCTTCGTGTTTCTCTTCTTCCTCTTCTTCCTCTTCTTCCTCTTCTCCCTCGACAATTCCTTCTTCAATTTGGTACTCACGAATTACGGTGTTGGAGGTTCTGTCCTTTCCGAGTACCTTCCAGATGGCGTCTATCTCTTCGAAGAAACGGTAGATGAGTCTGGCAAGGTCTCGGTTCTCTCTCGCGTAAATGCGCAAGGTTTCCGTCAAATCATTCAGGCATTTCTCATTGGAAGCTTGGTTCATGAGGACATCGGCTTTGAGCTTGGTCATCTCTTCCATAAGACTACTTTGGAGAGTCTTAACGGTGTTTGTCAGATGAGCTTTCAAATTCAAAATTTGAATTTGAACTGGGCGCTTGTCTGGCAACATTGAAAGGACATCTGCCATTGTGTTCGGCTTCGGTGCTTGTTCGGACATCGAAAAATGAAATGAAGTGGTTTGAGAATGACGGTTTTACTTCAAAAAGCTTGTTATGACGGTTAAGTCATACAACAAGTTTAAAATAATATCTTGTTCTTCTTCTGAACGTTTGTTGTCTCTTCCGATAAAAGTTTCGAACATGAGAACCAAAAAACGTTTTTTGAGATTGCGGAAGAGTTCAGGCAAACGTTCATATTCTGGATATGTTGGGAGCAGTTCAAACATCTGAGCTGACTTTCGGACAAAATTGGGACAATGTCAGAAAATTCATCTTTGGTCGGACTGCTTGAAGGTAAGTCCCTTACATGTAAGTAGCTCTGGTAAAGTCTTCTCATTTCTGCTAACTTTTGGAGTATAGCTTCGTAGTTTAGAAGTTTTAATTTTAAATGTCTTATTCCACTCTTGACATCTAAACGGTAACTATCCATGAGGTCAAGAGTAGCTTTGGTAGCTTTAAGTGGAGCTATCTGTTCCTTGACTCCTGCAATTTTGGTTGCAATTGTGATTTGAGCTCCTTCAAGTTCGCCGTCTATGTCGTTCTCAACACCTTCAACCATAGCTTGAAACTCTTCATCGGTCCATTGAGATTGGTGTGGGACGAATTTAACTTGCTTCATTCAAAAAATGAAAAAAATGTTTTTACTCTAAACGTGCCATGTATATGGCTATAAGAAACTTACCAGAAGGCTTCTTCTTCACATGAGTCTTTGGCAACTTGAGTGTTGGTGTTGGAGTTCTTGGGGAGGTGGCTCTGAAATTTCAAATCTCTCTCGAGCGCAACAACAGATGTCAGAATAACATTCCCCACTGTCCTTCTTGCCACCATAAACTGTGTATTGACCAAACTTGCATTTACAGGAAGACCGGTCAATACAAGGTTCACAGTTGAAATAGTTGTACACAAACCTGTTGAGTACGAGTGTGAGTAAAAACATAAAAAAAGTGAAGTGAAAATGAGATGTTTACTGAACTGGTTGGATGTCGCCTTCACAGGTTATGTAGAACGGCTGACCGAGAAGTGAAGGAGAGACTGAATTGCCAATTTCATATGGGTAGGGGGTTCTCCTTGTTTGGTATTTTTATCCAAGGACGTTTGTTTAGGAACTTAACAAGAGCTTCTCTTTTGGCGTCCTTTATGCCATCGTAGGCTGTCCCGTCTGGTATTTGAATTGGAATTCCAGTCGAAGTCTCGAGCTGAAGTGTAGACCTTCCAGAAATAGTGGTGAACTTGACCTTGGGCTTCATTACCCTGCGCAAGTACTGCTTAACAACTTCATTTATCTCTATAAGGTAAATTGCCTCGTCAAATCCTTCTGGTATTCCGAGTCCTTCCATCCGACAGGAAAATATTTTCCCGACAACTGGAAAAAATTTTCCGGACAAAGGGAAAAATTTTTCCTTCCGACAGGAAGAACTCTTCCAGTTGTCCGTCCGTAAACCATTCAAATTTTCGAAAATTGAGAACTTTTTGGTCGAACTTCAGGAAAAATTTTTCCTTCCGACAGAAAAAGTTTTTCCTTCCGACAGGAAAAGTTCTTCCTTCCGACAGGAAAAATTTTTCCTTCCGACAGGACACAAACGAATGTCCCACGTCCCACCAACCGAGTCCATTCCCAAACCAGAAGAACCGAAAGCTGCAGAACCACAACAGTCTCCTCAGCAACCTCAGTTCCAGCAAGTACCTCCGAATTACTACCAATTTCCACCTCAAGGTTACTACCAATTTCCACTACAAGGCTTCCCGAACTACCCTCCTCAGCCTATGCCTTACTTCCCCAACCCTTGGATGTTCCAGCAAGCTCCACCCCAATTCCAATTCCAATCTCAATCCAAGAGAGACCAAGAGTTCGAGGAAGGTCTGAACCGTTTACGCAAAGAGTATGCCACAGCCCCTATGGAAGATGACAGGCTTTCAGTCTCTTCCCTCAAATCGACCAATTCGACTCGTACCACAGATTCGGTTCGTGACCGTGAAGACTACCTCAAGCAGTCTGAGAGACTCTTCATCTTACAGCCATTTACAGTTGGAGCTCTCAAGAACATGCGCAATTACGAAGGTCAGACACCAGCTGGAGACCGCAAAACAGACGTACTCGCAAGAGCCGTCCAGCTCGTCAAAACAAAGACTGAGATAGTCGACTTCATTCTTGCAGCTTGCCCATACAAGTAAAAAAATAAACAATTACGAGTTAAACTTTTTATTCTTTCTTTTCTGAGTTGTTTAGAGCTGGTTTCTCTTGTAGGAACCTTTCGTACTCTTCCATGGTCATGTAATTGCGAATTTGGTACGCAATTCCAGGTTCGTTGTTTTTGAACCTTACGTATGTAACGCTTCCATCCTCCTCAGGGAAGTAAGCTGCTAACATCTGACCAAGTTTTCTCGGTGACTCGGAGCTCATTAAAAATGTCACTTTTTAAACGTTAAGTTTTTAGTCTTATTTTACCCTTTGTTTACCCTTTGTTTACCCTTTGTTTGTCAATGTAGTATTGGAGTGCAATTTCTCCAAATTCTCTGTGTCGGAGTTCTTCAGCATTTTCCAAGGTGTGCCTGGAGAACTCAAAAAAGTTGTCAAGAAGATACTGCCATGCTGCTCTTCTGAGTTCGTCGGTATTTTGGAAGTGTTGCACCTTCGAGTCTTCGGACATGAAAAAATGACACTTTTTCTATTAAACCGTTTACAATTTGAATTTTGTTGCTGAATTCAGCAAAAATAATGTTTAGGGTAGAAGGTTAGATCTAACCTCTTTTCTAACCTCTTTTCTAACCTCATGAATTTTCATGAATTTTACACCAAAAATAATGTTTAGGGTAGAAGGTTAGATCTAACCTGTTTTCTAACCTCTTTTCTACCCTCTTGAATTTGTCATGAGTTTTCCCGAAATAAAAAATAAAGTTGGTTTTTTTAAAAAAAATATTTTTTTATTTTTATTGTAAGAACATGTTAGCAACAACAGCACCAAACTCGTTAGTCATGAACCCAACTTCAATGTTAGTAGAAATGAAAAGCTTCATTCCTTCTTCATATACTTTTGAGACAGAAATCCAGAAGATAAAGCAAGAACTTTTAACAAGTAATTTAGACTGTAGTGCGAAAGATGAAACAAATGAACAGTATCTTTATGAAATGCAGGATATTATTGACCATTTACCCAAATTGCCTGAAATCCAACAACAAAAACTCACTATTCCAGAATTCGATGAAATAGAAGTCAAAGCAACTGACTCAGTAGAAATAAAGAAGTTCATACGAAAGGTAAACTATGAGTTTCTTGGATTTTCATTGCAACCACAAAGTCATGGACAAAGATTGCGATATGTATATAAGAACATCTCTGACATATACAAATCTAGAATTTAAGACCTACGACAACTTTGTTTTCGTTAGTTGCAAAATGTGTTTGGAAATAAGAGATAAAGATAAAAGAGGTAAAGTATGGAACGAACAGATAAAACCAGCAACTTTTGAGTTAAAGAAAACCATTGACGCCTTAGTTGTTCTAGCAGGTAAGGTTTCAGAATATAACGCAAAAATGAACCCGCAATGTTCAAAATGTAAAGCAGCAATGAGGAAATATAACTACTCCGTCAAAGAGATAGAAAGAATGAGAAACGACTATGCTGACTTAAAGAAAGAAGCAGAAAAGCCAGCAGAAAATAAAATGGACATGTTAGAATTTCTGAACAAAAACTATCCAACTGCTGACGATTTCCTTCTATCTGACGTCAAGAAGAAATATAAAGAGACTTTCGGTATCGTTAAAACTTTTGACATACTGACAGAAGAAATAGAAGCTACGAAATTGTTTAGAATTTCACGAATTCACAATGTTTACCATGTGAAACGGTTATAAAATTCATGAAAATTCATGAAAATTCAAGAGGGTAGAAAAGAGGGTAGAAAAGAGGGTATATCTAACCATCTACCCTAAAATATATTTTTATTGAATTCTGAGTAAAATTCTGAGTAAAATATATTTTAGGGCTTGTGTCAAACCGTTGAGTTTTCACAAAATTTAAAAAATAACGTTTACCATGTGAAACGTTTATAAAATAACTGGGGTAGAAATGAGGGTAGAAAACGGGGTAGATATACCCTTCTACCCTAAAATATATTTTTGCTGAAAAAAATGACCAAATTTCATGAAATTTCTCTAGACCGACTTTTACAGGGGTAGCCAAAACTCATGAAAATCGTAAAAAATAAGAGAGTATTTTGACAACTTCAAACAAGTAGGGTAGATGCACTCTTTATTTTTCAAGCTTGACTTTTTACAATTTGAACTTTGTTCGCGTAGATGTGAATTCTGAAAGAAGTATGAGGGTCTTGTATGACTTTGTACTTCTCCCATAGTTCATGTCTGTCAAACTTACCTGCCATGGACTCTTTCATAAGTTCCATGAAATCGTCTTCGGACAATCCAGGGAAAAGTATGATATCAGTAAGTATTCTTTTAACATCCTTACTTAAACTCTTTGCTGTCTGTACACATATTACGACTGAGATGTTAAAGTGTCTGAGCTTCTTAAGAATTCGACACATGTCTTGTTCTCTGTTCTTTAACAAAGGATGAGAAGCAAAGTCATCTAAGATAAGAAGACATCTGTGAGGGTAAGTCTTCCAATCGTAAGATTGCAATTTCTTCGAAATGTATTCTATCTCTTTCTGTTTGTTTCTGAAGTGTTTCTTCTCTAATATTCTCTGCATTTCCTCATTTGGGTCTTTAAACTTCGAATTGACATACTCATTTATAGCATTGTACTTCAAAACTCTTCTTTGGTACTTCTTTATCCAATCTAACAACTCAGAGTCTTTTATACATACTAACTTAGACTTTTTTATAATATCTTTGAACGAATTTACGGTTTGGTCAAATTGACCAGAAGTACTACAAATGACTACTAACTCATAGAATGGGTTCTTCTCATCTAGTTCTTGTTGTTGTGCAGCCATTTTAAGATAAGTGAAAGTCTTACCCGACCCAGGCGGTGCAATTAGACCTGTTATACCATTCTGAGCAAATAGGAACTTGTCATGTATGGGTTTTATCTGAGCATTTTTCCAACTTCCTCTTGTTCTTGTTTAAAACATTCTCAAATTTTTTGTCAATGTCAGCAAACTTTTTTCTACATATTTTTAGAAAAATTAAAAATTTTTATCTTTTGAAAATGTCTAGCGATTTCGCTATCTATATTCGAGACAAACTTTTCGACAGCAAAACATCTGTCGACCATAAAATCTTACATAGTGTAAACAAGAAAGGTGAATTTGTTCTAAAGTTCTGTTTCTGGGAATATGACAAGAACCTCATTACAAGAGCAGTCTTAAAATTTGTCAATGACAGACTTGTTGACAGAGATGACGCCGATTGGAAAGATGAAGTCCAACAAAAGTTCTTAGAATGCAAAGAAGGCACATGCGCTGTTTCTTGAAGATGAAATAGAAAACAGAATAGAAGAGCTATTAAAGGACAAAGAACTTTACAATAAATATGGTTCTGAGAAATTTGACATAACTCCACCAGAAAAGAAGAAGAAGAGAGAAAAGAAAGAAAAGAAAAGAAAGAAAGTAGAAGAGAAGAAAGAACCTGAACCAGTTCCAGAGGAAAAAGAAATTTGACATGTTAAAAATAAAATTTTATTTTTAGAACATTTCTGGGTCAATGTCAATGTTCTCTTCCTCTTTAGGGCAAACACTGGCTTAGACTCTAAAATCTTTTTACCCAATTTACCTTGAACTTCAACTATCTTAGACTCATAATATTCATAGTCGTCTGCTTTCTTTGGTTCATAAGGTATAACAAGTTTGTATGCTTTGCCTTCTTCGGTTTTGAGAAACTTTCTGTCAAAATTTTCTTTGACTGCTAACAAACCTTCTATGTCTAAGTCTTCAAAAGTTTGCACCATTTTAGTCACAATAGCAAACTTAACTGGTTCGATGTTCCAAACTTTGCTGAATGAAGACTTTTCAAAATGGTAGAAGTAAACATTCAAATATGTGAATGGGTCTAGTTCTTCTTTAAGTCCTGACATGTACTTGTTGACTGAATGAATATTTGCATCTTTTCTATCGGATAAAAAAATATTTTTTTTTAAATTTACTCAGAAAAATTTTTCTTTGTATATACGCGTTCTGTACGTCTAAAAGACTTTTTGACATTTGCCAAGAATGTTCGTTTAGACGCTGTCATATAACCATATTCTTGACAATATTGTTTATACGAATCGTACAATGACCTTTCATCTAAACACTCAAGTCAGTTTCATCTATGAACAGTTCATATACACTCTTGTTTGCTTCTAACAATGTTTGTCTCTCTTCGGTATGTGGAATTTGTCTTGGATTGAACTTTGAAATATCTAATGTCATAAAGTATGAGAACAAGTGGTTGTAAAAGTCAGATGTCAAAGTTTCTGCTAAGTCGTCAAAATATTCTGTATCTTGCATATGAGAATCTGACGTTCTGACAACTACATATCTTCTGTCAGAACTTTCTAACTTCATCGGAACAGCATTGTTTGAACCATAATGAAGTTTGCAACATTTTCACAAACTCTTTGGTCTTTATACTTTCTTTCAACAACTCCAACTTTGTCTGTTATAAGACTCTTCAAAGCATCTGAGTTCAAAACTTTTGTTGTATCTATACTTTGAAGTTCATTGCAAACTATAAGTTTCATATTCTCTATTGAGAGTTAACTTGCCACAGATGTTTTCTAAGTTTGTCATATTCGGATTCGAATAACCTTCTAACAGTTTGCATAAGATATCTGTAAAGAAAGTATTCTTACCTAGTTCCTTGTTTTCCAATTATAATGAGAGCAGTTTCATTTTTAGCACTTGGATGTTGTAAGATGTTTGCAAACCAACATAAGATATACTCATAGACTCTTTCGTTTCCATTGCATATAATTTCTTTGACATGGTCTAACCAAGCTTCTATAACATTTTCTTTCCATTCTACTTGTTCGTATTTATATCCAGTGAAGATAGAAATAGAAGTTTGGAGAAGGTGTATAGAACTTTTACCTCGAACTGAAAAATCTTCTAACTTTGACAATAAGATATCCCAAGCATCTAACATCTTCATGCCAACTTGTACGACTTTTATTTTCTTAAGTTTCTGTCTACATTCTTGTTCTGAAACTATTGTCGCTTTAGGTTTGTTAAAGACTACATCCCATTCTTTCATAACATAACATTCTGGGCAGAGTCGACATAAATGACTAAACGTTTCAAATTCTCGACTGCTTTGTTATAGTCTCTAAATGGACACATATTTCTGAATGCTTGGAAGTCATAAAAATCTGAAACATCTATTCTGTACATTTTTATAAAAATAAAAAATATTTTTTTTATTCTTGACTTTGTTGTTGCATTTGTTGCATTTGTTGTTCTTGAGCTATTTGTTGTTGAAGTTGTTCTTGTAATACAATACTTTCACCAGTTGCATCTTCCAATTCGAAACTTTCTGCCGTCATTGACAAATACATAGGACATAAAAGTTTTACAGGAACAAAGTTTGCGTCAACTAAGGTTAAGTTTATGTTTGCTAAAGTGTTTGAGTTCACTAAAGCTGAAAACTCTGCATTCGAATGAACAATAGGCAAACCAGCAGAGAAAGTGTTGTTTATACGCATGAGTATCTTTTGTCATAGTAGTTTGTCTGTCACATTCGAATAGCACTTTGAACCTAAGTTTGAAACAATATATAAAATAGGTGTACTTAAAGTCAATGGAACAGACATTCCTTGTATGACACCTTTTCCTGTTATAGGAAACTGTTGGTAGTAAAAACCAGATATAAGTTTTGTATTATAGCTCATATCGTTTATACTAAACTCAGTCGGACATCCAAACATAATGAAACCTGCTCTAGTTGCAGCACATGTTACATCCGTCCTTAAAGTATTAAATAAGTCAACAAAACCTGTTGGTGGTATATCTGAGTAAGTATCTTCAAAGAAGTATTTTTTACCATTCACAACAACAAAGTCTTCTGGTGTCAAAAGAGCAAAACAGGCTTTAGTCGTCATCGTGTTTAAGGTCAGTTTACAATACGTCCTTGAGGACTTTGTAAGTTTGTTGTTATAGAATTATATGACTCAGGGTTTTTAGTCGTAATAGTATAAACCATTATATCTTCTGCCATTTACTTAGCAAATAAATTTTAATGAAATGTTGTGGTCGTCAAATATTTTTATGACGTCTGGGAAACTATACTTTAAGTTCAACGTTTCACCTCCTTTCATAACGTATATCTTGTCAATGACATTATATGAAACACCACAGCAAGCAATGTCGGGTTCTATTTCTTTGATGTTTATATCGTCTGCCTCTGTCAAAAGTTTCAATAGTTCTTTCAAAATTTCATGAGGTGCGATGACATATGAGTTCACTTTTACAGGGTTGTGCTCAACCAAGTTTAACATTAGACCTAAAGCTTGACAAATCTTCTCCTGAGTTTTAAGTTTGTCTTTCAGTTGTTGGTAGTCATTTCGAATATCTGCAACAGAACTTAAGTCTCTGTTAACTTCAGGATATGTTGGTTGTTCTTTTACAGGAACAATTGCTATACCATCTTCGTCTTCGTATGGTTTCCCCACTTCAACATCTCTGTCTTTGACATTGACAACAACACTTTGACTGTTTGTTTGAGTTGGTGAATTTAACTTCACATCTGCCACCGCCATTAAACCTTTTGAAACACTCACGCTTCTATTTTTCGGAAATGACATTTTACTTAGAATAAAAAGATGGACGTATTTGAGTATCTCTTCGAATTGAAGCAGAACAAAGTTTACACACACAAACAGTACAAATACATTGACAGAATAGTTCTTTACACAAACAATGGAAAATGTTATAGAATAGCAGTCTTTGCTGAACCAAAATATTTTCATAAAGCAAAGAAAGTTGGTATAACCGAAATGGTGAAAGTTCTTGAAGCAGACAAAAATATAACAACAAAACTGACCGATATTTCTAAAGGAAAGTTTATCTTACAATTTTATGTCAAAACTGGCGTACTGTCAATATTTGACGGAGAGAAGTCAGTTCAAGAACAACTTACTGACCTGCTGCCAAAATCTGCTCGATGGAAGCTGTCGTTATGCCAATCTGAGGAGCCCAGCAGGTTTCATCGAACGAATCTTCAAAAGAGCATCTTCCGTGAAAAGTGCTATTGGTTTTGTAAACTTCTTTGCTTTCATTCATCTGGACCGTCTCTGTCACCAGTATATTGTATTTGTACAGTACCAACAGTTGAAATACCACCCATAAAGTCTTCTGAGTCAGCAAATGGAATGCCAAGCCAAAAGTTTGAACGGTCTCCATTTGTATATTGAGTTTTTTGACCTCCTGTATGAGTCCATACTTTCACATATGGCATAATAGAACTTTGCATTTCAGGGTTAATGGTTGTTGTGAAGTTGTTGTTAAAGTTCATAGCATCTAATGTCAAGTTGTATGACCTCATATCCTCAACTGTAGAATATTCTTCTCTTGGATAATATTTGCCATCTATGTTTATATGGTATTTAATACCAGGGTTGTAGAAGCAAGAATAGTCATTTATAGTTCGTCTGAACAGTACAAACATAGTATCTGCATGTTTCATTGCAGTTGTTAAAGCAATATCTGTTCTTGCACCTGGGTCAGCACTTTGGTTTCCAACTTCACCTGCAAAGTCTTTGACAGATATTTGGTGTATAGGGAACATAAGTGGAACTGCAATATATTTGGCAGCTAAAGCATTTGAAATATCTGGGTCCAACATATAGACTGCAAGTCTGCTTTCTATTCTCTTGCATTCAAATTTTTCGCATGTGAACTTAACTGGGTCCCAAGCATCTCCAGCAGCATTGAAATAATAGTTTACTTCAGTGTTGAGGTTTGAGAAACCAAAGTCTAAGTCAACTTTGTTTTTGCAAAAGTCGGCGAATGACATTTTATTTGCCCACTACTTCTGTAAGAGTGAATGGGTCTTGTGTTGGTGCAATGACTAAGTTATTTTTGCTTGGAGTAAGTTCGATAGAAATTTTTCCTGCCCAGTTTGGCAAGTATCTTAAAAACCTGAAGATGAGGAAAGATGACAAAGGAACTCTAAGTTTCAGTTTTACTTTGGTTACTGCTGCTGCAGTTTGTCCAGAAAGGTTAACATAAACTCCTGGAACGTTAGGGTCAAGTCTTCTTATTTTCTCAATAGTTGCATACTGGTCTGTTTGTTCTCTAGCTTGTGGTTGTACTGAGTTTCTCAAAGCGAACCATTCATAGTTTGCCCATGTTACTGTTTGAACTAAGTCAGAGTTAGAATATATCTTATATCCCATGAAAACTTCTGGAGCATATTGGTATCCGACATAGAAAATTCCATTGCAACCTTTCTTGTCAGACAACTTGGCAGAAGGTTTTATTTCAATGTCTTGTTCCACGTATAAGAAAGAGTTGTCAATAGAAATTATATGAAACCTGTCGCAAGCAATATCTACTGTTGTTGAAGAACCTTCTCCAAACTCACCTACGTTTCCATAAGAAACAGCAGTTGTATATTCGTAAGTTCCAGGAACTATTTCTGACCTTCTAATGGCATTGTCGCATTCGTTATACCATTCGGAAACATTTCCATTCATAGCATCCAAAACTGTTGGCGTTATATTCTGAGCGGCGTACATTTCATATGAGTAAAAATATAGAATAGTTGGATTTATATGTCATAATAGAACCCACTCCGACCAAGCTTTACTTTCTTCCTGACTGAGTTTTTAACTCTTCTTTTTCCTTCATTGCCCTCTGCTTGAAGTTGTTGCATCTTTGCATTATGTTCATCTAGTATGTTGCAAATTTCCCATGTCCTTTTTGCCTTTTGGCTCTGGTCGCCCATCTCAGGTAACCTATATCCTAGAAAGAGTTTGTCATAGTCTGTATTTGAGTCTTCGCGTATTGTTTGCATGACTCTTTCCTGAGTTTCCGGTTCAAGCTCTTCAAACAGTGCCTGTCCATATGGAATAAGCTCGTTTCCAAATATATGTTTTTGTAGCCATTCTGGTTTTCTTTCCATGTTACCAACTATATCTTTTGTGAATGGGAAAGCTTTTACCCAATCTTTCAGTCTTGCGTCGTTTATTTCTGTAGTTGGTTTTATTTTGTCAAGGAACATGTTTTTCAATACTAACATTTCATTTGGTACTGTCCATTTGAGTTTTCTTAAATATTCATCCCTTCTCGTTCATTGTCTGCAAAGTAAGTTTTTATGACATTTTGTAAACTTTCGTTTGCAAGGTCATGTACAATAGGTTCTCTTCCTTCTGTCTCCCTAACTTTCTTTCTAAACTCTTCACCAAATATACCATCTTTATGGTTCTGTGTAGTTCTTTGAGATAAATGTTTTAGAACGTCAGGTGTTATATTTCCATCAGCCATGTTCATTTCATACTGGTCCAAAATATCTGCATCTTTCATATCTTTCAATGGCATTAAAGCCGCGCTGAAAATACCAGCTATATCTGGTTCACCATTCACTTCCATTGCGTCTACAACTTCTTGGAATTGTGGTTGTAAGTTTATGAACCACCTATCCGGATTAGCTTTATGACCCCATCTCATTGTAGTTCCATCGTCTGCAGAAACAAAAGTAGGTTTGTTTCCATCTTGGTTAGGTTCTGAATGAACTTTAAACAATGTTTCATTTCTATATGTTTTCTTGAAATTTAACCTTTTATTTTCACCGAGTTCATCCGAAGATTGAACGTTAAATGCTCGTAAGTAAAAAGGGTTGTTGTATTTGTGTACATTTTTTTCAGTTCTTCCATTCTATGCTGAATATTTTCATCTGGTGTTGGAGTCTTTTGTATGTCGGCAAACATTTTTCGATATTCTTCTACTATGTCAGCCGAATTTTTTTTAGACTCTTGGAAATATTCCATATTCTCCGCATACTCTTGTTGAGGGTCAAGATTTTTCGGCTGTTCCAAATCTTCATCTAGTTCTGTGAAGTTAGTTTCCAAAGGAGGACTTGTTCGTTTCCTTCAGGCTCTTCTAGCTGTTGTTGCTGAACTATTTCTTCCATGTCTGGTTGTATCTGAACTTCTTCCTGTGGAGTTTCTTGTACCTCATCTGCTGGCATTTCATATATTCCGAGACCGTTTTAACAATTTCCCTATCTACGTCATCCGCATTCATAAGCTTTTGTTCTTTCGTTCCGTCTCTATTTTTTACGCGTTTCATGACGAAAGTTGAATTGTCATTTAGCTCTGACATCAAATATCTCGGAGTAAATTCATCCATGTCATTTGGATGATATGCTATTAAATCATATCCCTTAGCGAGCTTGTATTTTCCAGGTTTGAGATTATATCCGTTTTGGTGCTGAGCCATAAAGCTAAATAGGTTCGGGTCAGTATTTCCATCCTTGAACTTTCCAATAGCTTCTTTATATCTGTCACTAAAGTCAACAGTATCTGGGAAACCACACTCTTCTTTAAGCATTTTTAAGAATTCTTGGTTTCCTTGTTCTCTACTTCTTTTATGTCCTTGCTCTGTTTGTGGTTGTTGCTGTGCAGTGTTTTGAACTGTTGGTTGTGGTGCAGTGTTTTGAACTGTTGGTTGTGGTGCTGGATTTTGAACTGTTGGTTGTTGTGTTGGTTTTGGTGCATGCCTGTGTCTGTGTCCATGTGACGATGTAAATGTTCTAGGTAGTCCTGGTGCAGGTGCTTCTCTTGGAGGGTTTGGTGGTATATAAGTTCCACCAGCTGGCACATATGTTCCATCTGCAGCGTAATGTCCTACCTGACTTTTCGTTTTTAAGAAAGCATTTACTAGGTCTGTTTTGGTCTGTTGTAACTCTTTTTCTTGACTTTTCACAACAGTTGCTCTAACGGCGTCATAGGCACTTTGAACTGCCTGTCTCGTTGCTGCATCTGTTATTTTCGTCATATTTTGTGCTACTTCTTTTAACTCTTTGTCGAAACCTTCAGACTTCAGTTTCTTTCCAGATGAGAAGTCGTTCACTTGTTTCACCTTACTATGAAGAGCTTCGAAGGCGTTCTTAAAGTCAGCATTCGTTAAAGCTTCATTTGAACTGTCTTCATCCGCTTGTATTTTTGTCCTTATTGACCCTATAAGTTGGGCTGCTTTAGCGTTGGCTTGGGCATCTAACCAGTCATTGTTAGCTTTTATATATTCTGCGCTTTTCATTGCCTTTTGCATGGCTGCGTCGTTATTTTTACTTTCTTGTGCTAAGTTTTCATACTGTACGGTTTGGTTTTGCAACTGTAAAAGTTTTTCTGCCTTTACATTTGCTTCAACTTCTTTTTTATACTCATCGCTATCCATATATGTCTTCAGGGCTTTTTGTTTTATCTCTTCATCTTTCAGTACTTTATATTGAGTAGTATGGTTTTTCAAATTTATGACATCTTGTTCCATTTTTGCTACTTCTGCTGCTTTTTCTGACACTTTTTTCGCATATTCCTCTGTACTTAGTTCTTTCAGTTGTTCTTCTTTCTTCTTTTTCTCTACGTTTAACTCATTGAGTTTCTTTGTGTGTCTGTCATATTCTAGTTTCTTTTCGTTTTCACTTATTTGTTTCTGTATGTCTATGTTTGACTTTTTGACATCTGTTATTTGATTTTTGAGTGAACTCAAATTCATTTGACTTTGAGGGTTATAGGCTGTTCCGTCTGCAGCTCCACCATAGCCTGCCATTTTCGCTAAAAGTGCCGCTCTTAAACCTCCACTCTGTGCACCAAAACTCGGTTTAAAAGCATAGGATTGCTTGACATTTGTTGCAACATAGTGGGGTCATTCAGCATTTGTTGTTGCAACTGTTGTTGTGGTGTTAGTTACTATTGGATGTTTCAATGCTCTCTTCCTCTTACGTATATTCTTACGTAGCTTACGTGGCATTTTAAGTGAAGTTAAAAAGCGGTTTTTGACAGATGTTTATATGACACTTTTTGTTCAGCACAAAAAACTACTCGGTCAAAGTGTTGTCAGTTTTGTAAAATAACCGTCCTATCTCATTCTATAAGGGGGAAAGGCTTCTCAAAGTATACTTCCTTGGAACGCCTGTAACTTTTCCTGTAGCGACGATAGACCCTTACTTGTCCGGACAAAGTTATACTATTTTGAGTGTTCTACAAAAAAGTCAACAGCGACGACTCTCAAAAACCGTTGTGTAAAAAGTTTTACCGTTTGACAAAAAAGTATATATAGAAAACAAAAAACGTTTATAGTTCATTCAATATTTGAGATGGAACGGTTTGCCAACGGTAACTATTAAATAAAATAAAAAAATAGAGGGGGTTACCGTTGACGAAAACGGTTTATTTTAAACTTTTCTATGAGTAGTCCGAAAAAAACAGTTCATTTTTGTCTAATGTACGCGTCTCGAACAGTGAAGCCCAATTCAATAGAATACTATCTCGAAAAACAAGAAGCTGACACTGCTATTCAGTCTTTAATACAGAACCAAGCTCAGGAGAACTCAAAAGACTCCCAATTCAAATCGACATCCAATTCGAAGCAATTAAAACTTGACACGAATGTTTTAAAACCACAGCCCGCACGAACAAATACAGCTCTAAGAATAGACCAAAGAATACCGAACAAAGAGTTGAGGTCAAGATTGAAATTACAATCGGATGAGTATTTTTCCCTTAACAACCAGGGAAATACTCCATATAACCGTATCTACACAAATACCGTTAAAGAAACAATAACGGCATACACAAAACTCTGTCAATTGGTCCCCAACCAGGACCAATTGACGGACATTATATGTTCCTACCTTCCCATATTTGCTGAGTGTGTGGAAGGTAGGACATTGTTACAAGCTTGCTTACGTATGCCACCAAATCTCCGTCAACAATTTGCTCAAATTGTACATGAATTTAAAGCTTTTAACAACGGATACGATGAAGATGAAGTAGCAGATGAATTTGGGGAAGAAAAAACATTTTTCCCCTCATATAATACGCCTGCAACAGTATTTCCTACTAATGAATTTCACAACTATTGTGTCGTTATTTAATTGTTGTGGATATGCCCACAGGTGAAGACATTCTCAGTGGTGACTTCATCGAAGTCTGTATCAATACAGAATTGGGAGAAGATGAGTTGCACAAATTCTCCTACGTCGAACATATATTCAAACCAGCACACCAACTCTTTATCGAAACTGAAATAACACTCACACAAAATATGTCCATCTCATTTAAATCCAAATCAGGACGTCCATACAGAATTTGGATGAACTACGTCCTCCTCCACTACGCCGACGATGACGAAGAAGAGGAAGAAGAGGAGGAGGAAGAAGAAGAGTCCTCCGAATTCACACCAGAAGACTAACAATTTTCCGAATAAAAACTTCATTTATACTAAACATCTTCGGGGCTAGAAGGGGCGCAGCCCCTGGAAGCCCCACTTCCTTTTTTTTTTTTTTTTTTTTTTTGATTTACTTATCTTTGTATCAATATCATTTTTTATTTATTTTATTTTTATTTTTTTTAATTGTTAAAATAGCTGAATTCGATTGCGTTTTCATTCTAGTTAAATACTTACAGAATTTTGATGGTATCACCATTTGGCATATCCGATTTTATTCATTTTTCCATCTTTTATGACTTTGGTGCGGATCAATTTTTTTTCATACTCTTTATTTCCAAATTTTGGTTGATTATATTTTAAACAGAATACTGCTGATTTTCAAAATCAAAATTGAAATTACTCAAATTTTATTATTTTCCATAAAAAAAATCAAACCTATCAAAAAAATTCAACAACTCTAAAGTTGTTACTTCAAAATTGTGTCTTACAAAATCTAATTTTTATCTTCAAATAATTTTCGTTTTTGAAATTGATTTCCACGTGACAGTGCAAATAATTATTAATTACAATAACTTCAAATATTAGAAAATCATAAATTAAAAATATGATAATATTCAGAAATTATGAATATCTTCTTTGAGGAACTTTTTTTAGGTTTGCAAAACCATTAAATCGGCAAAGAAATGTCGAACGAATTAACCATATCATCAATAAACCATTAATTCTGTCAAAAAAATGAAATCTTTAAGCCAAAATAAATATAGCCAATTTAAACTTAATTCTTTCTGTTTCCAATTGGTTCAACTCATGTATGGGGTGAAAAAATCATAATTTACACTATTTCAAATAGAATGAATGTATTCTTATTCATTGAGTTTATAACATCATCACCCAAAGATAAAGATATGATATATAGTATAAAAATAGAATTGACATCATACCTGGTTTCAATATTTTATATTTTCCCGTTTCCCATATTTGCCCCGCTAATAAAACAATAATTTTCTAAAAAACACTATTTTCCATGGATTTAGTTGTTTTTATCACCATTAACATAAATTCAATAACTTCTATTGGAGCTACACAAATTGCCATACCTGATTTTGCAATTTATACACCTAATAAAATTACTACAAATTCACAAGTTCTTTGAGGATTATATTGATCATCCTAGAATAAATTTATATCATTTTTTTTATTATTTTGAAGATCTGAAGGAATTAACGGTAAATTTTTCGACATTTAATCCACAGTATATCCAATCCTATATTAAATATAATATGGGTTCAATAAATTTTATTGAGCTTTTTTTCCCAATAATCTAGATTTTTCTTTATGTATATTATATCATTTTCTCACAAAATACGAAATGATCAAAGTTATACTCTCTGGTTACCATATCATTTAAAATTATTGTTAAAAAATGCATTTAAAGTGCTTATTTATGATTTCTAAAATGCATCATATGATCAATGATAATCCTTCAATCATGAAAAGAATCTTGACATAATTAATCACGAAATGCAAGTTTCTGAATTGTTATTTATGAGTGCATTATTTTAAACATATTTACATGCTTTTGTAAGCATTTGTTGTAAAAAAAATTCCGATAGTTTTCAAAAAATTGAAAGAAGCAATAAAGTTAAATACTTTATCAAAACATGAAATTCCAATTATTTTAATAGAATATATATTTGTAAGAAAATCATTTTCGCTTTCATTTGAGATATTTCTCAAAAAATTGAAAGAACTGTTAATTGAAAAATAATTATCATAAGTATGAATATATTATTGATAATTTATTTCCGAAAAAAAAATTAAAAACCGCAAATTAAACAGTAATTTTTTTAAATGCTGAAGGAACACCTTAAGGATTCATACGATCTTGCTTTTGAATTGAGATATCGATCTCATCTACCTTCAAGACTACAGTGGATCCGTGAAATTGTTAGGTTTTTACAGCTCCTCTTTTTTTATCTAGATTTCTGTCCCGTTAGAGAAATAAATACAAGATCATTAACATTTCTCCGTGCATTAAATAATGCAGGGCTCATCAATTCATGTTTCAGTTTCTCTGTTGTCCCAATTCAATCTAATATCGTTTTATTATTTATTCAAATATTTCTTTATTACTATTTCAAAAAACTATCGGACAAAGCAAAGACCGGTAAATACATCTCGAAAAATTCATTATTTCTGATCACTTCGATGTTTGAATTTTTATTGCCTTGTTTACAAATGCAAATCTTCTTTAGATTCTCGCAAATACTCTTATTAGTCCATGACTCATTCAGTCTACTTTCAGTTTTGTCTTTAATCATACATACTTTTAATTTATTATTATGTTCGTACATAGATTACATTTCAAGCATTTTCTTACGTCCAAGAATTTTTGTTATGAGAACTCTCGTTGACTATAATACATGCTGCACAGAATACTACATTTTTTGGCTGAGGTTTTGTTCAGTAACTTTTCAAGTCATTTTAGCAGAGTCTCATAACAATACAATTAATACATTGCTGTTTCTCGCATATCCTACCGTATTAATTCTATTTCTTATTTATAGATTATCAATTGGAATTCATTCAACGATTGTTCTTGCATTTTTAAATGACGCGATATTGTTTTCACAACCATTTGTACTAATATCGCATCTATATGAAGAAATCTTTAGTCCTGTCATTGTATTATTTTCATGTTTAATAATTTACGTTTTTATTTATTACATTTACCATTATTCCATTAAAATGAGGGTCTACAATGGAAAGATAGAGTTTCCATGGTATCTTCCTGTTCGAAATAACTTAGTTATGAGATATTTAAGTGAAGAAAAAGCCGATATTGAAAAATTTGAGAATTTAATGTTACTTCGAATGAAGCATGATGATGAAGAGATGATGGAAGTTGTAAGGTTCTTAGGAATATTCAAGAATCAACGCCAAAAAATCATGATTATGCTGTCAATGTGGAAAGGAGAAAGTGTTTATTATGATTATCAATTTTATTTGGCCAGCCGATTATTTAGTTGTTTTAATGATAATTGTCCAGAGTATTACATCAATCAACTTGACAATTTACACAGAAATTACTTAGTTTGTTTGAGTATGTTTTGGAAAAACCGTCACGATAAAAATTACTTCACTTCATTTTTGTATGGAACGAAAGCAAGTGTGACACACGTTGAAATGATCAATCTCATAGAATTTCGTTCATTTATTTACCAATATGATCCATACATTTATCAATCATATGCCGAAATATCATTGATTGCATTGGGAGATCCAAGTAAAAGTGTCATTTATCGTCGTCATTCACAATTACTTAAAGAAAATCATTATAGTGTTGTTGATCCAGTTTTCAAAGCAACAGCAAGATATTATCCTATCTCTATTGAACAATACACAGAAGAGAAAACATCAACAGATTCAAGTGAAACTAATTCAACTTCATCATCAAATTTGAGTTCACAAAACTCATACAATCATATTCGATTCCATTTATCAGATAATGTTATTTATCGAGATGAAGAATCAGATAACTCATCTATTGCCATGTTTGTTCAAAAGAGTGACCAAATGAAATCGATGAATGTTTTAGTTGCAGTTCTTCTCACATTCATTTGGAGTTACTTTTTTGCACGAGATGTTATTTTAAGTGAAATTGAAAACAGTCATCGTTTGATTGATATCAAAAACATCATCAAGAAAACAATGTATTTGAATGTTGAAGTCACATCTATTTACATGGTTAAACCAATTATTGAATCCAAACAATATCATAACTGTTTTGAACTTAAAAGTGATATCTATCGATATCTGAATGAATATTCATTCTCAGTTGGAGATGATTTTACATTCATATCTAAATCTCTATCGTTCATGTCAGATTTCTTATCAAAAAGTAACACAGACAATTGTTATGAACTTGAAATCGACAACAACAGAATTATTTCAGACAGATTGAACACGATCCAAAATAATTATTATAGTTTTGAAACAAAAGTTGATGAAATCCTGAACAGGAAAGATTTATTGATTATTTATCACAAATATGCATTATATTTAATTGTTATGTCTATTTTTATGTCTATCTTCTCCGCATTCATGGGATACATGAGTGTCCGAATGACATTATTTGATCTTCCAGAGAACGCCCTTTCATTTTTAGGGTCCAAAGAACGTTTGAGTATGTTATTATTGAAGAAATCACTTGAAAGTTGGGATTTCTTCCGAATTTTGTTTCCATTTGAAAAGAATGAAAATGAAAACCAGACTCAACATCAAAGTCAAAAACTACAAAAATCACAAAAAAATTCAGAATCAAGTAGTAAAATATCATTGATTCGAAGTCGAAAGAATTCTATGTCTAAATATGGATCAGACACAAATATCAATAATCCTAATCCTATCAACCAACAAACGAATGTTCAGCGACATAATATTATTCCTAAAGGCAACACTAAGAGTCGACATGTCAATTTGAAAGAATCCAAGATTGCAATTTCATTCATTGGTTCCGATGAATCATTGAAAGCATCACAGTTTGCATTGATGCAAAACATTGTTCAGAAAAGCACGAATACAAATTCAAATCCAGATATCAATATCTATCCATCACTCATCTCTAGTGACAACAGTGATGATTGTTCATCTGCTAGTGGATCAACAAACAACACCAAAGACTTTATCCCAGCAGAAACAGTCGAAGAACGAGACATTGTTAAAGAAACAATTGATAAAACTAAGATCTCAGATACACGTGTTCTTGTTTTGATCTTTTCTACACACATCATTCCATGGATCATCATTTTACTTATTGTTGCATATTCCAATCTGATCTTGAATTTCCAGATGCGATGTGAAAACATCTTTGTTTCAAATATTCGACCAAACATCACCGACCTACATCAATTGCCATTACGAATCTATGGCGATTTCATCAACAAAAGCAACAATAAAAACACAGAATTACACAAACATGATCTTAATTTCAGTTCATATGAAATCAAAGACAAAAATCAATATTTCACTAAATTTGATTCATATTTTCATTCACATCGAAAAAGAGATGAAAATTCATTTGAAATTAAAGAAATCAAGATCAACAGTAATATTTCATTTTACACACACCGATTAGAACATTTCATTGAAGACACGGAACGTGTTAATTCCATCTCTATGACAACATTAGTTTCATTCTGCATTGTTTCAACATTTATCTGGTTCAGTACTAACATCGCCGTTTACAAGATCGAATCATTCATCATTCGTGGTTTCAATTCACTTTTCCACTTCCCTCTCTCATACCTCGACATCATCAACAAGCCATTAGACACATCTCGACATTCATCAGTTCCTAACAACTGCATCGAAGTTATCTTTGACAACGAGACTAAACTTATCAGCGACATCAGCGAGAACATTTCAGAACACATTGGCATTTCATCTATTGATGTTATTGGTCATAAATATGAAGACATCTTTACACGTGAAGAAGAAGGTATTGTTTCATTTTCAATTAACCAGAAGAAGAGTAAGAAATTCATCGAAGACAAGATCGAAGACAAACTTATCACACGAATTGCTCTTATCCCTTCTAAATCAGATGATCTTCACGACATCAACATCTCACATCAGAATCTCACAATCATTCTGAATTCCATTTTCCATCATCAAGATTTTCTTGATTGTTTTGTTGTTTTGATTCATTTCGACAGCAGCACATTCAACAGCTGTGTTGATCAGATCTTCTTCGCAACACACAACATCTTACAATGTTATGGATGTTGCAAACTTCTTAATATCGAAGGTTCATTAGTCTACTTTTCTATTGAAGACGACGACATTAATGCTGTTTATTTATTTATCCGCGACATGCTGAACAACTCAACACCAACAACTCGAAATTCTCTTAAATCGATTTCCAAAACAAATACATCAACATTAACAACAACAAAAACATCAACAAAAGATGTGTCATCAACACAATCTAGTTCTATCACATCAGTTGTTTTCTGTCGAACAAGAGTTCATATTGGAATCTCAGTTGGTCAAGAGTTTGATTCTCAAGAAGAAATTCAAAATGTTCCATTTGCATCTATTTCATTTTCAGAGAACGATTTCATTCGTCACGAAATCTTCAGTCTGGAGGATCATACAATTCTTTTCTACGACGAACACGATTCACACAAAAACATCATTTCATTTGATGATCTCAACATCATCCTCGAAAACGAAAATTAATTATATCTTTATTTCTTTATATTATCATTATTATAATCTTTTTATATTTTTCTTTGTTTTGTTTGATAAATTTACCTTTTTAATATTCTGTATGTCACTCTTATCATAATTTTTCCCCATATGACAAACAAACTGTAAAAGAGTTAAATATTATCTGCGATATAAATGAAATGATGATGAATATATGTGAGCATCAAAACAATAAATTTATGAAAAATATTTAAAGATTAAGAAATTTAGGTATATTTCTATATAAATGAAATATTTATTGCTGCACTAATTAGTACATCAGTAAATTGGTATTAAAGAAGTGATTTGTTTGCGTTGTTTAATTGTAAATATTTGTAAATTAAATAATTTATTGAAAAATTTGGGATATTAGTACTTTCTTATTGACATTTGCTTCTAACATTATGAGGTGATATAATTCTAAACAGAGAAATATCTTAATGAATGTAATTTTGTTCGTAATATTTCTATTAACCAGCAAGCAAGATATTTTGATAATATAGGCGTTATTAATATAGATGTATGGTTCATATAAGCACTAAAAATGAGGTAAATCATTTTTCTGATAAATCTTTATTTAAATGTGGAAGTTGTCAAAAAAATGATTTATATTCTGAAGTTTACATTTTTACTTCACTTTTATAGTTTCTAGTCGAAAAGCGATCTTAACTTCATTACTTCAAGGCATAAACAGTCAATTTGAAATGAATTTAGAGAAATATAATACAAGAACTGTTACACCAAGATTGGGCAGAGTTTTTCCAAAGTTCAGAAAAAGGAACAAAATACTCTACGAAAAGCCAAAAACTTAGTTCATGCGATCAGAATTATTATATAAGTTTTTGTAACTTTGGCACATTACTTACAGAAGGAGCTATTAACTTTAAAACTTCGAAAGATACAACGAAAACTCTTATTGAAACAACAAATTTTAATAATTGCTCTAATACTAAGGGACCAGGAGGAAGCTTATACTTCTCCACAGAAGGCGAATGTGTCCAAAATCGAATTTGTAGTTTAAATTCTAATTCTGCTCATGGAGATATGTATTGTAAAGCTGATGTCAGTAATATTGCTAAATATAAAAATAAAATTCTTAATTCTTCTATTTCTGAAGGCGGAAATTTATATAAAAATAATGGAGGAAATATTGATCTAATAAATGGAGAAATTGAAATAAATTCTATAAATATTTCTTATAATGATTTATATTATGGCAGTTTATTCAGCGCAGACTCTTATAATTCTTCGAGAGCATCATTTTCAACATTTAGTAATAATACTGATGCATTACCAGATGAGGTTTCTCTTACTTTTATTACTTATTCATCAGAAATATTTTTGATTAAGTCATGTAACTACTTAAGTAACAATTTAAGTTTCATAATAAATTCTGCTTATTCATATGTTTATGTAGTTAATTGTAATTTCATCAATAACACAGGTAGAAATTTTTATTTTGCTCATAGTTCTTCTTATCCAGGTAATACTACAATTGATGGGTGTTACATTGATGAAATTAATCCTAAAATAGAAGAAGAAGTTTATTTCACAAACAATGCAACAAATCCAATCGAAATAGAATTTCCAAATTTAACATGTGAATTTGATATTCCTACATCAAAGAATGAAGAAGAAAATGAAATCATATATTTCAACAGAAAGAAAAAAATTTTCAAAAATCTTCATTTTTTGTTCTTTCAATCATTTGTTATTGTTTCTTGAAAGGAGTAAAATGTCAATTTTTTCGATGTATTTACACTGTAGCAGAAATTAATTTTTCAATTGGAATTTATATATGAAATATGATAGTACCATAAACTTATAAATGCACCCTTAAAAAATTAATTCAGAGAACCAAAATTAGAACCTTTAGTAAATATTCATAATCATCCTATTTTATAATTAACGATCATTTTAATATATAGTAGAGATACTCAATAGAATCTTTGATATCTGAAAGATGAAGGCAATTATTTGTATCCAAGAAATCCATATCTGTCTGGTATTCAAGGAAAACACATGTATTTGTAGGAATTAGGTCAAGATCATTTCTTCCAATTTTACGTCTTGGAAATAGTTTTGAACCGAAAAATAATCCTGCTGCTAACGCTCCAAAATACATATAAACAATTAAGTACTTAAGAATAATTATTTCCATGACCTCGTTTGCATTTAGTTCGTCCCATTTTGAAGCTTTTTTCTCATTTTTACTACTTCTCCTATCAAGAATAAAAGCAACTATTGATATCACAATGGATATTGCGGTTTCAACTGTACTCATTATTGTCATAACAATTTGAGGAACATTTGCCCCGAATGATGCAGCCACAGGTAAGAATGAGAAAATGAGACTTAATCCATTGTTTGCAATTTCAATCCAATTGTTAAACTTATTTTCGAATGGTTTCAAGAAGAATATCAAAACACCATATCCAAGGTATATAAATGATAATAATAGCATCAATTTAGGAACATAATAATTCGTTATTATTCGAATTGTGGCAATAACCAATTTATAAAATAAGTTTGCAAGTGGCCAGTACCTGAATTTTATACAATAATCATTGTATAAACTTGCACCTGCATTTGAATAAGTGTGTATTTTTTCTCCAACCTCATTATGCATGAATTTGATGATAAAATAGACTAATAATGGATAAAAGATTGTATTAAAAATGATACAAAAAAGAAGTGGACCAGCCATACTTATATACCAATCTTTTGCTGTTGTTGCAAGATTAAATCTAAACCTTTTTTCATTATTACTTTGGGAAATGTTTTCTACTTCAATACAAGAAAAGTACTTTGAAAAGTATGCAATACCATAATAGGAATATGGATTAGTTCCTTCCGGGCAGACATCTTTAATTGTCATCATTGAATTCAAAATAGTTTGGAAAATTGGCAAATAAATTGCATTTAAAATAATAAAGATGACTTTCATGATATTCACCCTTAAGAAGTATTTGATTTTTGTAATAGTATTAGCACCGCATTTTGTCATCCGAAGGATTCCATAAACAAAAAAGAATGCTGCAATAATGAAATGAATTATCGCACCAGTTGGGAAAAATTCTTCTTTCAAGTAATAAAATTTTTTGATAATGCCACAAAATAAAACACCAGAAGTCAAAAACATTCCGCCTAAAATTATATGCAAAAAACCCAAAAAACAACTTCTTGGAAGGTGTTCGAATCCTATATGCTCTTCAGATAGATGACAACCAAATAACTTAAGATAAACTCCAGTTACTATAATAGTAGCACCAGCTCCTAGACAAATTATTAATATTCCTTTTGACAAGACAAGATCTATTATTCCTAATCCAAATGCAAATCCTCCAATTATGAACCAAATTCCTTTTATGATACCCATTCCTCCCATAAAAAATTGACCCAAAAATAATATTGCGAATGGAAAAATAATACAATTTGCAACGAGTTTAGTTGATTGATCTAATTGAGTTAATGTATTATAATAATCGAATATTGTTGTAACAAAATGAATTATCAAATCAACAGTTAATTTGAGCCAATGTGGAGGATGGAGTTTGAAGAACCCTAATGAAATTGCAATATTTTGAATATATGTAACGAAAGAGTTGATTAAAGACACAATAGTCAAGTCACCCATTTAAATTTTTTAATATGAAAATTATCCTCTCAAATTTATCTAAAAATAACTTGAAAATTTTTTTACGACTTTATAAATTTTTATAGGTCGAATATTTATTTTTCAAAATAAATCATCATATAGCAAGAATTTATCTAAAAATAACTTGAAAATCTCTATACGACTTTATTAATTTTTATAAGTGAATATTTTTCTTTTCAAAATTCAGCTTCAATTTTTGAAAATCGGGATTTTCGAAATTAAATCAAATACTTTTTAAAAAGTTTTTGTATACAAATTTCGAGAAATTTAATTTTTTCCAATTGAAAAAATTATGCCAAATTTTCATTTTCAATTATGCTTGTGTTTACTTTAATTTTAGAAGAATATAGATATTCCTTTTATAATAAAGACATGAAATACATGAGGTATGGTAGCCCCGAATACAAATATTTGGATTTCACAAAGAAAGATGTCTTTTATGCAAACTTTAGTCATTTAGTTGCAGGAATTGGTAATTTTTCAGCAATTGTAAACGGAACAGAATATTCAAAACCATTTTCTATAGTTTTCCCAGAGGATTTTTCAAGAAATTATAACACTACATATAAATGCCATTCTTCCACTTGCAACCTCACATTTCTCGGCATTTACCCACCATCGATCTATAGATCATTTTATTACGGAAAAATGCCGACTTTCGCAAAGCTAAACAAATTTATACACCCAGGAAAAGATATAGTATTAGATGATCATGAAACAAAAGTTTACTTCTCAACAAAAAGTGATGATAAACAAGACTTTTTCGCCTACCGCATTAGAATTAATGATGTTAAGTATGGGGCAGATTTTCTTGCTGTCAGGAAAACAATTATTTATCATCTAAGTCCAAAAGGCACAGAATCCAAGTACACATATACTATAAATGGTTCCGATCCAAAAATTATATTGTATCCATATAACAATTCTTTCAATATAGCTGATAATAATGTTACTACATTTAATGGAGATTGTTCGCTCCTATTTCCAATAACTATAGAAAATGCAACTGAAATTATTAATAATTTTACATTCAAATCTGAATATGGTCATGAATCTTCTTCTAACGAGCATAACCATTTTCCACCAGACTTAAGTCTCTTTATTCCACCAGGATTCCATACACTAGAAGAAGTTGAAGAATTTACTCAACTAGAGAGAAAAAATTATGCTGATTATCAAAATGCATCACTTGAACTGATTAAAGTTCTAAAAGAAGTGAAAGAAAAATCAGTCAATGAGAGGCCAGCTAGTAAAAATTTTAACTTAGGAGCTACTGAACAAGCATTAGCTATTTATGGAATAATTGTTGTCACGATGCTTATTATGGGACTGATTCATGGGTGCTATTGGGCATGTAAGGCAGATGATATAATTTTGCAAATGATTAAAGAAGGAGAAGATCCATTGGATGATATGGATAAATCAAATGAGAATATATCAGCCGAAAGTAATTCAGAAGAACCATAAATTATATTTTGGGCCAATTCAAAGAAAAGCAAAGTTAAAAAAAATTCTTAAATTATCATTAATTTGCTCTGAGCACGTGGAGTATTGGTAAAAAATATCATTTGATTGAAATCATTTTTCATTTTTGAAATAAATATTTCAGGTCTAATAATGTTGATATTTACACTCATATGACATGACCTTTAATTCTGACATTTAAATTTTATTGCTCTCGCATACTATTCGGTATTTAATGCAATAATAATCATACACTAGAGAATTACACTTTTCCGATATTTTGGGTCGCTTTGCGCCCTTGACAAAACATATGAAAAGTGTTAATTTTCAATCATAATTCAAGCCAGTTGTCAGAAATTGATATATTAAAAGCAGATGAGGGTAAGTGTACTAATAAAAAAGCTTCAATTAAATCGAATATTACTCAGGCCTGAAGGATGTGCTCTTAAATTAGGTTGCATGAAGTTATTACTGATTGACATCCATGCAATTTTCCAGAAAATCGAAATGATTGGCAAAAGAACTTTTTTTAATAATGGTATTATTTTTTTAAAACCATTAATGATATTATAATTCTCCATTACTGATATTTTGAGATTTAATCTCACTTTGACAGAGCAAATATGAAATTCAATGGGTTCTCAAAAATGAAAAGACGTTAAAATTTTGCACAAGAAATGAATTCGACTTCTATTAATAAAAGCTATACTCCAACAAAAGATTACATCAAAAAGCTAAAGTATAGAGACTATTTCGAGCATGTTACACAAATGAAAAGACAAATTGAATACATTGATAAAATTAGCCAAGAATTTTCTCAACAACACGAAAGAAAACTAAATGAATCGATGAGTCAAATCTCTTCTGATATTGAGCAAAGAGATATTACTCCTAAAAAAGCGATGTATTATCAGAAACTCGATCTTCCAAAGTTCAATCCTGGTAAATATAGTACTCCTTCAACACCACAGAAGCAAATACAAACTACACCTCCGATTCTTAAGTACTATCCTTGTGGTATCTAACTTCACAAAAATATTTAATTTTTTGAAACATTTATAGACATACGATGATTTTGTTATTACAAAACTATATACATTTATAATTTCTTTCATTTGTTTGTTACAATTTGATTAATTTTATTATGGAATAAGATTGTATAACTATGATTATTTAAATAATACTATGTTAAGTTAAAATATTAAAACAATTGTTTATAATATAAAAAAAATAAAATTAAAAATTTATCCGTAACATACGTCAAGTGTTGCGCGTGGTCTCATTGTGAACTTAGGACCTCGAAGAGTAGACTGAAGTTGGACGTATTCACCACCTTGGCTAATTTGTTCGCTGTGATAACGCCTGCCAATTGAAATTCGTGGACTTGAAGGTCTTACACCGTTCAAACTCACCGAGTAATCTGCAGGTGATGGTGTCGATCCTGAAACTGCTGTAGAAATACCTCGAGTTCGTGGACCATGGAAAGTAGATTTAATAGCGTCACTTCCGAAACTTTTAGATACATAATATGAACCTGGACCTGGTGTTACTTCAACTGATCTCTCTCGCCTTGTTCCTGTGATCTTAACTGGTGGAAGATCTTTACCAAATTCTGGAGGACAATAGTCAACACCTGGTGTAGTTTCTGTATCACGAGAATAATATCTAGAACGCATGGAATAACGAGGACCGGAGTATTTTGGCCGAGTATCTTGATATGGAGCTGATGTAACGTCAACATGTTCTTTTGTACGTCCGTGCATGTAGATTCGTGGAGTACTTGCAAGTATTTTACGCTGTGTGTCGTATGATGCTGGTCCTGGACCTGTAATGTCAACTGTTTCGCGAATGATTTGGCCGATGTAACCTTTGTTCTTGTTTGGGGAGAAACGAGGTGTCTGGTATTGGCCTGGACCTGGTGTGTCTTCAACCTGATCTTTGTATGTTCTCTGACCAATCCTAGCACCTCGTGCTGTTTGTGGTTCACGAATCTTGTATGCACCGGGACCTGGAGTGTCGTTTTTAGTTGGCATGGAACGCTCACTTGGACCATGGAAGCGTGCACCTTTCCTTGGATCACCAAAATCTGATGTAACTTTGTATTCGCCTGGACCTGGTGTGATTTCGCGATGTTCATGATCTGTTTTAGTGTGAATGTAGACTTTTGGTGAATCTGATCCTAATGGTTTAGAGTAATCGTATGGACCTGGTGTTGATTCTGGTTCGTTAATTTTAGTTCTTCCTTTCATAGTCCATTTGATGCCAGTTCCAATTGTTGTCTTAATATCAACATATGGAGCATTGTTAACATCGCGTTTTTCTTCATAACGGCCTTTGATCTTGATTTTTGGAATGTCATCTGAAATTTCCTTGCGCGTTGTATATGCTCCTGGACCTGGAGAACTCATACGCGCTGATGATGTGACATATGTGCCAATAGGCTCAGGAGGTGCATCAGGTGGCAAAGGAACAAAGAAATCGGACATTTTTTTGTGAAAGAAAAAATTCCGCAGAAATTTTACGTTATTTAAAACATTGTTACTATTTTTGGATCTCCTTTATGAATAAATAAATTTACGCCGAGTGAATTTTTACACCAACTTTACAAAATTTCCGTTAAAATCCCTGGAGTCTTCTCGTTTTGATGAAACAAAAAGAATTATAAAGTGATCTATCTGTTGACTACATTCTCCAAGTAACGAGCCTGGTACACGATTTTTTTATCAAATTTTAGAAAATTGCTAGCTAATTGGAATACGTTTGAAAGATAAAGGCGCTTTTACTTAACAAAAAGGAATTATATCTTATTTTTTTAATTTAATGTTCGATAAAATTTGGAAACTAACGAAATAAACAAAAGTGGCATTTTGATGGTATGAAATACTCTTCCCTTTTGAGTTAAGCACATGTATAGGTAAAGAAGCAATACAATTCGAAAGTATAGTTTTTTTATTAAATCCAAAGTATATTGAGTAGAGCAGCTATCCTGCAACCAATTAGATAGTGTATAAAATGTCATTTATATGTAGAATCTATTATATAGTTTTAATTACCTTAGAAGATGGAAGTACCAAAATCTACTAAGGGCTATTTTAAATTAAAAACCGAAAAGCCTAATTGAAAGATTCTGGTAGATATGATATTTTATTATTTAGCTCAAATTCTAAATATTTTATATATCATTCAAATTTGAGCTAAAAAATATATGTATCCAATGATTTAATTTCAGATTTTCATTGTTATAACTATGCTCAATATAACTTTTTAAATACCAAGAGAGAAATAACTTTTGAGGAAGTTCTACGAGGGATCTCAACGATTTCCAAATAAATCAGTAGAAACCAAATATGAATGTAACACAAGATGTGCAAAGATTATTGTCTTTTGTGGAGACCATTGATCAGCACAGTTTGCATCTATCATCGCAGCAATTCACAATTAAAATTCATATCAGTCGAAAATATGTTAGGTAATCACTCCAATTCTGATGGTCTTTCAATTCACTGAACAAATCGATTGTTGGACAAACTATAAAAGAATAATAGACTTACTCACTAAGACTTTGGAATTCATAAAAATGGTACCCATGTATACGCAATAATTTGACAAAAAAAGTCGTCATTAAAAAATATGAACAAGATGGAAATAGAAATCTTCATATTTTGGTATATGAATTTCCAAATAAATTGTTCATCTTTTTCCGGTTTTTTCAAATGACGACTTTTCATACTTTTGACGGTTTTTCCAAATTATTGTATATAAATAGGGTACTTTTTTATGATTAACGAAGTCTTTATGAATAAGTCTAATTTAAAAAATAAGAACAGCTATTACATGAGTATATGTAATTTTCAATCGCATAAAAAAATTTCCATCATTTAAAAAAAATTGAGGCGAAGCCTCAATTTTTTAAAAAATGCAGATATTACTGTAAATTCAATGTTGTGAGAAACGCTGCAAAATAGTATCATAAATTTTATCGAATAGTTTACAAATCACACTTTTTTTCAAAATTTTGATGATATTTGTAAACTATACATAAAATATGAAAACTTATCCATCTTTCTCTCAAAATTGAATAACAAATTTTCAAAATTTTGATGACATTTGATGAAACATCACCAATTCATTACAATGAATTGATAAATACTTATAAAAATTATTGTAATGCATTCGATTCATTATATCAGCTCAATACAAAAGATGAAAACCAATTAGCTACAATTTATAAAAATCTCAAAGTTCATCTCATAGATTCAAACAAATATCCTCCAGATCTTATTATATCAGATATATCATTCATTTCAATTTATAAAAAACGGTTCATGAAGTCATTTTTGGCAATTGCTAAACAAATTTTTGATGAATATCGCCCAAATAAGATTGTCAACATTCACTATGTTTTTGATTATCTCTTTTATAAAGAATATGGAATAGTTCTTCAAGAAACTAACAAAAGAAAATTCAAGGAATGCGAAACTAAAAATTATTCATCAGACATTCATGAAGCAAATACAATATACAAGGCAATTATGGATAATGACAAAGAATTATTCATCTCAAGTATCGAAAGATGTGAATTTGATAAAAATAAAAAACTAAAGAACGATTTATATCCATCTAATGAAGATGGTTATTCATATATTGAATTGTGCTGTTATTATGGATCTGTTGATTGTTTTAAATTCTTAATCACAAAATTCCACTCAAAAATAACACAAAAATGCCTTCATTTCTCATTTTTAGGCGGAAATCAAGAGATCTTAAGCGAGTGCTTAAAATATCAACAGCCATCTCAAGAATGTAAGAGATATGCAATTGCTTCTCATAACATTGATTTTGTTTCATTTTTGATCAATGAATACAATATTAAAATCAATTTAGATTATTGCAGGATGTATAATAATCTTCAGGCATTTTTGATATATTTAGATCAAACTAATAATATTAATACATGCTTTGTTTATTCACCTACTTTTCATCTTCTATCCCTTTGGAAATATTTTATTTCTCTTGGTGCTAAAATTAATGCAAAAGATTACAAAGATTGCACTCCACTTCATTTTGCAGTGTTATCTAACAGTAAAGAAATCGTCGAATTTCTTATTTCGCATGGTGCTAACATCAATGCTAAAAATGAACAAAGAGATACTCCACTCCATTATGCGGCCTTATTGGACTGCAAAGAAATAGCAGAAGTTCTTATTTTGCATGGTGCTGATATCGATGCAAAAAATCTTTTTGGTAAAACTCCCCTTCATGTTGCAGCTGAAAATAACAGTAAAGAAATAGCAAAAGTTCTTATAGCGCATGGTGCAAATGTCAATGCTCAAAAATTAATGGGAGAAGTCCCACTTCATCTAGCAGCTAAAAATAACAGTAAAGAAGTAGTAGAGGTCCTTATATCGCTTGGTGCAAATATTGATTTTAGTAATGCAATAATAGGAACTCCGCTACATCTTGCAGCTAAAAATAACAGTAAAGTAGTGGTAGAGGTTCTTATATTGCATGGTGCAAATATCAATTTTAGAAATGCAACAATTGGAACTCCACTTCATGTTGCAGTTGAAGACAACAATAAAGAAATGGTTGAATTTTTAATTTCACATGGTGCAGATATCAATGCAAAAAATGAATATATGAGAACTCCACTTCAAGTTGCATCTCAAAAGAACAATAATGAAATAGTAGAAGTTCTTATTTATCATGGTGCTAAGCTATAATTCGAAAATTTGCATTGTCGACTAAAACTGCCAGACGACAATAATAATACCTCATATGTAGCCTCTCCCAAGAAAGCACAGGAATTTTATATCATGAATTTTAATTAGGTTTCGAGTCTATTAAGTCACTTCACATATTCTTCAAAGCAATCATAACTCAGATTCTTAATATTGCATACTATCACTGTCCTGTATAAATGTATTCTGACTATATCTGAATATGTGAAAGGTATACACAAAGACATTCCTAAATAATTAGTACATTTGAACAATTCACGGCCGTAAAGGTAGCGAGTAGAGGGGACCCTTAAGGGATCAGCGCTTTATAGTTAACAAAAAAAATACGTTATTTACACCCTGAGTCTTTTTCTAGAGAACTTTTTTAGATTTTGAAACAATGAAAAGAAAGAATATGATCATTAATGCTATATTTAAGTTTATTCATAAAAATGTCAATTCTATCATAGAGAAAAATAAACTAAGGAAGTGAGCCCTTAAGGATGTGGGAAATTGAAGTGAAAGTTATTATAAAAACATCTGATTTTCAAACTCATAAAAAAATCATTTATTTATAAATTCTATTTATTCTATTCTAAAGGTATCTGAGCAACATTTTGGTTTGTCACAGGCTGATCAGTGAACAAAACCTCGAACACATCATCAACAAATGTGGGACACAAGTTGCAAGCTCTCTTGCAGTCAGGTTGGAAGTTACACTCGAGAATTACTGGTTGGTAATCTTTCGTGATCATCAAATCAACACCGTACATTCCCTTTGTGTAAGGCGATTGAACCATTTTCTGGCAGCAGCAGAGGAACATGTCTCTCATGCATTTGTAGATGTTTTGGAGTACATCATCCCACTTAACATCCTTGTTCTCAACAGCGAACTGTTCAACGAAATCAACCCATGTTTTATGAGTAACTTTTGTCGGAGCTTTGTAATTCATAACTGTAAAGTGTCTTTCGTAGTCAGAAAGGTCGTCAAGGGACCATTTCTTAGGCGCCAATCTCGGCCAGAACACTTTGTAGCAGAATAATTCGAATGGTTTGATAGATTTAAGTAAAACAATAAATCTTAAGTCAAATTTGCATCCGAATATATTAAGAGGGTTCCAAATATACCTCTGAGCAATCCTATATTGGTTTGAACTATGTTTCAAGATCTCTGAGGCAGATTCAGTTACCAACATTTGGGCAGCTCGTGTTTGGTTGAACGCCTTGACGATGAACGCGCAGCTCTCCGAATGTTCTTTGAGTTCCTTGTGCTTTTTGAGGAATCGCGCGATGTCATTCGCATCTGACATTACAAATGTTTCCGGAAGCCACGGAACGTCGCCCATGTACTCCCTGCAGGTAAGGTATAATAAATCCTTAACTGTAAGGCAGTTCTCACCCTCTATTTGGTTGAGCAACGTCTTTGTAGCGTAAATTTTTTCGAAATCTCTTTCGTGTCTCGAAGTAAGCCATATAAGGTCTGCTTCACTTGGATCGTCAGTGACCACGAATTTGTCGGAATGGAGGTTCTCTATGAAGGCTTTGTACTCGATACAAGCTTTAATTGGCCTTTTACTGGTAACCGTCGAATGGAACTTGGATCTGAAGGACTTCATGGGCTTAGGAGGTGGAATGGCCTTGATTTCGCTTTCTTCTATGAAAGGAGTGTAAATAAATAAATTTGATGTGACTTCGTCACCGGAAGAGACTTGTTTGATTGGCCAGAAGACAAAGAAGGTCTTTCCTAAGTGCGGTGAACCAGCTGGCATGGCGCAAAAGTTGCATTCGAGCTTATGATTAATCGCAAGTCCTTTTGCTGAAGGAAGACACCAATCTGCGCCCGTGCATTGCATGTGGTCCCAGATACGGTCTGGTATTATGAGGTCTTCGTCTCCTGATTCTTTATCTTTTCCATTGTCAAAAACAAAATCTCCGGAAATTTTCTGGTTTTCATCATGTTTGATGGAAAGTAAGGAGGGAATGTAGTCTTTTAGATTCGAGAAATCAGCACTGTTGCCACGAATATCGATTCTAAGAGCATTTTTGAAAAATTTGAACTCTTCGCCTTTGAAATTTTGGATTTGGCAGTTGCGGATGTTGATTGTAGCTACATCTTCGGCCTTTCTTGCGTTTGTAATATACATTAGGGCCCATTTTGTATAATTATCTGTAAATTTTCTGTTGATTACTTCGAGCTGTGGGAATTTAGCGAGTATTTCTTGTTCTTTATCTTCTATTGGTGTTCCTAAGACGTTAATAGCTTTGATAGTTGTGATTTTTTCAAGTGATGAAATCAAATCATTTAATTCGAGTGTTTTAATACCATTTAGTTCGATAGACTCAAGCTGTGGGAACTTTGTATCGAGATTAAGATCCTTTAATGACTTGATTTCGCAGTTAGAAAGGTCTAATCTGTTAAATTCGACAAATTTCAAGCGATCATCAACATTATTCGTCTTATATTTCGGTTTTTCGACCATGAAAGGAGCAAGCTCATTACGTAATTTTTCATCTTTGCGATAAGTATCGTAAAATGTTGATGGATCATCAGACCAGACATGTTCAATTACAAATAAGCCTGATTCTGGTGTCAATGACTGACGCTTTCCTTTAGGTGCGTAAACAAGCTTTGGATATCCATCATTCTTGATATCAAAGTCTTTTGTGTTATCTTCTTTGTAACTAAGTAAAAAATCATATAGTTGGCCTCCTAATTTTCCAATTGGAAAACCATGCGCATTGAATATACTCTGATGGAGGCCAACCCACTCTTCAAATGAAATTGGACTTGTTTGGGTCATTTGGAAAATTCGACGATTAAAATGCTCTCAAATGGTTTACGGTTAAAAATATTAAATCATGAAGATAATATATTAAATGTACATCATGGCATGTAACAAATAATATATTTCTTTATGGGAGTTTGAACTCCATGATTTAAAATACAAAATCATTGATAACAGATATCAGAGGAAATAATCATATTGATTATGTTTCTAAGGTTGCTCACCACATGTTGACATTGTTTATATCATATAAACCATATTATTTTTATTCAAAAAAATCAATTTATACAAAATGAAGAATTGTAGTAAGAATATAAGCATTTACAAACATTAGATTAAATTTAGAATAGTGTTACTGGTTATACCTTGTTCAGATAGAGTTTTTGTATAATCAAGCTCTTTTCCTGTTGGTAATTGTAGTTTAAAAGCGTATTTCTGACCAATTTTGGCCAATTCGAGGGAAACCCAAAGCATAATCTGTGTTCCATCCTTCTCAGGGTCAAATTTTCTCATAATTCTCTGAGATGGTAAACGAATCATTAATGTAACGCCTTTATCTGGTTCTGGATCTAATTCTATTCCAGTAAAACTATTGGTTTCAGTTGTTTTGTCACCTGATAAATCTTTATCGTTCTTTTGTAGTTCTAGTTGTTTTTCGACCTCCCTTGCGTATTCTTCATCCTGTCGTCTTTTGAGAATTGCCTCTTCCGAAGGTGCCGAATAATTTGCCACTTTATGTGGTTGTTGTTGAGCTCTTTCTTGTTGAAGCTTCTTCTTTTCAATATAGGTAATTCATGCTAAGTTCGGTCAACGATAGAAATTGAGTGGAAATTAATCGTCGAGGAAGTACGATTATGTAAAGTAAAAAAATGTTGTGGGATTTTTAATATTATATATTATTTTATAATAAAATTTTTTTGAGTCATTTTAAGAAGCACATATAATTTTTTGAATTTAAAAATTAAAGTAGTGTCAAACGAATTTATCACTTAATTTAATACTCAGATTTCTTAAAATTAATGAAAAAAAGGTTTTCTGAGAACTTTTGAGAATGGTTTTCAAATTCCATTATTGAAAATATATAGGTATTGTATGAAATTCAAACTCTATTTTATTAAAATTCTAAATTTTTAATAAAATAACTTTTCAGAGGAATATGATTTTGAATGGTTGATTAATAAGTATAAAAATGTCTACGATTTTAAGGAGGGAATTGTTCCTTATGAGGTATACATCATAACTATATACCTCATAAGGAACAATTCCCTCTTGATATCCTGGATATTTTTGAATATATTTTTTTAATTAAAGTTCTCAAAAGTATTATCAAAAGTGATTTTTAAAAAATATCTCCAATTAATTAACTAATTAAAAGTATTATATTTTTAAAATTAAATAGTTTTTCAATTTTTTTGAAGGAATTGAGATACTTCCCACGACAATAAAATTGAGAGGTTTACATTATGACTGATCTTAGCATGCAACATTATTGGTGTATAATTTACTATTTAAATTTTCAAAATTTTGCTTTTTATTGGGAGAAAAAATAAAAATATTCAATAAAAATGATATTTTTTTGATATTTTCATTTTTTTTTGTTATGTTACTCATTTAATCAGTACAGTGGACAAAATGTGTCACACATAAATTATTACACATTCACAAAATTGAGGGAAAAATAACGTTGCACAAAAATTCCGAAATGGATGAACCTATTGTTCCATTTGGAACATTTGGTGCTACAGTTACCAAAAGCAATCCGACTCCAATGTTTCAATTTAACCTGGGAAAAATCGAAGTCCCTTCATATGTTAACGAATACAAAAATATATCATTTCGAAATATAAGTGGTGTTGATGAACATGGTTTTACACCTAGACATTATGTATTATTAGGTGGACCAAATAGTGTTTATATAGCTTATACTGTAAGTAATCCAAATTTTCAAGATGTTGGTGGCTTCCACAATTTTCCAGCTTCCCATTATGTCGCTTCTCAAAATAAAGACAAAGACTTACTAAGAGGCATGATCAATTCAAATCCTTATAAACTCGATGAATTTAACCGAAGTTACGTTTTTTATCTTATATACAATCCAAACGAAGATGTTATTGACAAATTTTTGCAATTTGCTCATAATCTGAGATTAATCAAAGATCCATTTGGTCAATTAGATAGATTTGGCCTTACTTTTATTCACTTTTGGTTCTTAGTTGGCAAGAAAGAAAGAGTTAAGCGTTACCTTACGACAATAAAATATATTACAGATATGTTTCATTCATTAACAAATGACATAACAATTACACAAGTACCTACGTACCCGATTTCCAAATTCTTGCCTGAAGAACCATAATTGATTGCATTATATGCAAATATTCTTAAGGATAGCAAAGTTTCTGAAGAAAAGGTCCTTAAATCAATTATTTTGACAGATAATTTAGCAGCACTTTTTGAAATTAAATCGGATTTCATTGTAAAAAACGTTGATATATTCTTCGAGTTTTCGTACATACACAACGCTCCGAAATGTTTTGAATGGATGTTTACGAAAATCAAAGGAAATTTCGATGGTTTAAGACCAGAATTGATGAAGAAAGATCCAGTTGATTCTTTAAAGAAAGCTGTCGAGCTTGGATTGAAAGTTAAATTAGATCTTTTACAATCAGCTTACGAATGCGGAGCAGCTAAGTGTTCTAATTACTTGGAAGAATTACTATCCGCTTAATAATGTGTACATGCCATTTTTTTTAATCTTTTAAAGCGTTTTCGTTTAATAATTATTCAATTTTTCATATATGAGAAAGAAGTCAATGAACATAATGCAATATGACATAATGTTGTTTATAAGGTAGATAGGTATATTGCAAACAAATGATGTATTGCCATATTTTTAACATAATTTTTCGATTTTTCTTATTTGCGTAAGATATCAATGAGAACAATACAATTAAATATAATGTTGTTTTTATGTTAGATAAATACCCAGAAAATAGAATATATATTACCATTTTATCGAGAATAATTTTGAAAATGCGGAGATATTAGAAATGAAGTGATATTTGAATAACTATGCATTAATTTTCATTAAGAAATATCAAGTTTTCATGATCTGTACTTAGATTAGAAATTTCATAAGAAAAATATTATTGAATATAAAGCATTACAAGCATATATCGTATAAAAAGTTTACTCATAATAGAATACATTATTCTAACAATGGATCTGAGGAATTTTTACAATTTTGTATCAGTTTTCTCTTTATTTGTATCGGATTCTTCCTCTCCGAAAACTATATTATAATCTGTAACAATATCGTCATTTACATCTTGGTCAGGGAAGATAAATTTATCTGATGAATTTTCTTTGATCTGTGGAATCGATTCCTCCTCATTATTAGCTATTTCAGGAAGACCTTCTCCTTTTTCTTCTTCAGAATCCTCTAAATATTTCATTGAATTCAAAATCTGGTCAATAAGTTTTTTATTTTCTTCACTGTTGATATCTACATCATCTTCTTCCTCCTCTTCTAGATCTTTTCCGTCAATATTTGATTCTTTTTTGGCTTCCTCGTCTTTTTTATCGTTTTGCAAAAGTGACACTGCATCACTTTGATTAGATTTTACCGAGTCATTAGTTTTTTCACTTTTCGGAATTGAATTTTGGTTCTTTTGACCAGATTCTACTTTTTGATCATTTCTTACGTTCTTATTTTCTAATTTTTCTTGTTGAGTATCTTTGTTGTCTTCCTTTTGATCTTCCTCTTCTTTTTTGTCAGGAGTATCAGTTTTGGCCTCCTTCTGAACTTCCTTTTCCTCATTATTTGATTTTTTGTCATTATCTTGAGATTTGTGATCATTGTTTAATGATTTATTCGTATTTTCGCCTTCTTTTTGTTCTTCCTCTTCAGAATTCTGATTTTCTTTTTCTTTATTTTCCGTATTATTATTTTCTTGCAAATTTTCCTTATCTGATCCATCATTCTCTGGTAATTCATTGTTTCCTTCCTCCTCATTGGCAATATCTTCTTCCATTTCTTGCTCTTCTTCATTATATTCTTCTTCCTCTTCGACGACCATATTTTTCATGTATTTCTCGTAGAAATTAAGCTCTGCTCCAATGATTGAGAAAGATTCTGTATAAATTTTAAACTTGTCTGTTAATATTATTTTTGAAGATCGTTGCTTTGAAATTGAGGAATCATTTTGTGTTTGGCTTAAATTACTTTTGGAAATTCGGCTTAGGGTTTGTTGCTTTGGTGATTTCGGTGCGATTTCTGTTGTTTCGAAAGAATTGTCTGAAACTAAAGAGATTCGTGTTTCGACTTTCGTATTTGACTTAAATGGAACACTTGTACTCTTTCCAGGACATATTATTTGATAAGATGATGACGGAATTGAGTATTTGAGTGGGATACTCATTGGATAAAAGTGACAAAATGATGTTAAGGATTTTGGAAAAGATTTCTTTAATTTTTCAAACGCTTTAGTTTCACATGCTTGCGTCTATTCCAAAAAATCAAAATAAAGTCCGATTTCAGGGAATTATCTAATCTTTGTAAAGCATTTTGAAGCTTCTGATGAATACAAACTAATGAAAACATTACCCTTATATCATAAGAATAGAAAGCTATAATCGAATACAAAGTATTACTTGATCTTTTGAATTATACCTATTAGCTGCGGATAGCTTTTGCATTCTAAGTATCCTAGAGCGAACACCTTATGCACAGTGGATGCCATTAAAAAATAATGTAACATATTCAAAATTGAATTCTTATAACATAAACCGAAAAAATTCTGAACTTTACATTTTTACTTCCCTTATCTAGTTTCGAGTCGAAGAACGATTTTAGTTTCATTACTTCAACAAATCAACAGCCGATTTGAAATGATAAAAGGAGGGTACAATTCGAGAATTCCATCAAGAATGGACAGAGTTTTTCCAAAATTCAGAACAAGGAACAAATTACTCTTCGAAAAGCCAAAAACTTAGTTCAGAAGATCAGAATTATTATATCAGCTTTTGTAATTTTGGCACATTACTCACAGAAGGTGCCATTAACTTTAAGACTTTGAAAGATACAACGAAAACTCTTATTGAAGATACTGATTTTTATAACTGCTCCAATACCATAGGAGAAGGAGGAAGTTTATACTTCTCCACAGAAGGCGAATGTGTCCAAAATCGAATTTGTAGTTTAAATTCTAATTCTGCTAATTCATGGATGTATTGTTTTGTTGATATCAGTAATATTGCTAAATATAAGAATAAAATATTAAATTCTTCTATTTCTGAAAGCGGAAATTTATATAAAAATAAAGAAGGAAATATTCATCTAAAAAAAAGAGAAATTGAAATAAATTCTATAAATATTTCTTATACTAATATATATAGTAATAGTTTATTTGACATAGGATACTTTAATTCTTCATCTAGAGCATCATTTTCCACATTTAGTAATATTACTGATACATGGCCATATACTAGTTATTTTGCTTATTTTTATGATTCATCAGAAACATTATTGATTAAGTCATGTAACTACTTAAGTAACAATTTACATGTAATAATAAGTTCTACAGATGCATGTATTCATGTAGTTAATTGTAGTTTCATCAATAACACAGGTAGAAATTATTATTTTGCTTTTGATTCTTCAGGTAATATGACAATTGATGGATGTTACATTGATGAAAGTAATCCTAAAATAGAAGGAGAAGTTTATTTCACAAACAACGAACCAAATCAAATCGAAATAGAATTTCCAAATTTATCATGTGAATTTGATATTCCTAAATCAAAGAATGAAGAAGAAAATGAAATCATATATTTCAACAGAAAGAAAAAATTCTTCAAAAATCTTCATTTTTGTTGCTTCAATCATTTGTTATTATTTCTCGAAAGAATTAAAATATCTCAACATAATTCATAATTAATATCATTCAATGAGTTCTCCTTCGCGAATCTTGCATGCACATGGACCTGAATTGTCGTTTTTCGTTGGCATGGAACACTCACATGGACTATGAAATACTACATCTTTCCTTGGATGATCAAAATCTTATTTTGATATGTTCGTGATCTTTTTGTGATTAACTTGAACATGAGGTAAAAATACATAAAAATCAATTTATATTCAATTGAATGAGCTAAAATTCAAAGTTCTGGTGTTTGATATCTTGACCAACTTTGATTTCAAGATTGTAAATTTCAAGTTGGAATTACTTCAACTTTAAGGGTGCACTTACGCCCCTATGACACGGCCTTCAATTCAGATGTTTAAGGTTATTTTTCAATGGCCCTTTACACCCGTTGCCAAAAATTTGAATCAAAGTAAGATGGGCGTAAGTGAAAAAAAAAAAAAAAAAAAGTAGTGGGGCTTCCAGGCACTTCGTGCCCTCTAGCCCCGAAGATGTTTAGTATAATGAAGTTTTTTTTTTTTCTTGGGATGGCCTTCCAGGCACTTCGTGCCCTCTAGCCCATAAAAAGTTTAGTATAACTTTGTCCGGACAAGTAAGGGCCTAACGTCGCTACAGGAAAAGTTACGGGCGTTCCAAGGAAGTATACTTTGAGAAGCCTTTTCTCCATTTTAAAACAAGATCGGACGGTTATTTTACAAAACTGACAACACTTTGACCGAGTAGTTTTTTGTGCTGAACAAAAAGTGTCATACAAACAACCGTCAAAAACCGCTTTTTAACTTCACTTAAAATGCCACGTAAGCTACGTAAGAATATACGTAAGAGGAAGGGAGCATTGAAACATCCAATAGTAAAACTGACACCACAACAACAGTTGCAACAACAAATTATGAATGACCCCACTATGTTGCAACAAATGTCAAGCAACCCTATGCTTTTAAACCGAGTTATTGGTGCACAGAGTGGAGGTTTAAGAGCGGCACTTTTAGCGAAAATGGCAGGCTATGGTGGAGCTGCAGACGGAACAGCTTATAACCCTCAAAGTCAAATGAATTTGAGTTCACTCAAAAATCAAATAACAGATGTCAAAAAGTCAAACATAGACATACAGAAACAAATAAGTGAAAACGAAAAGAAACTAGAATATGACAGACACACAAAGAAACTCAATGAGTTAAACGTAGAGAAAAAGAAGAAAGAAGAACAACTGAAAGAACTAAGTACAGAGGAATATGCGAAAAAAGTGTCAGAAAAAGCAGCAGAAGTAGCAAAAATGGAACAAGATGTTATAAATTTGAAAAACCATACTACTCAATATAAAGTACTGAAAGATGAAGAAATAAAACAAAAAAGCCCTGAAGACATATATGGATAGCGATGAGTATAAAAAAGAAGTTGAAGCAAATGTAAAGGCAGAAAAACTTTTACAGTTGCAAAACCAAACCGTACAGTATGAAAACTTAGCACAAGAAAGTAAAAATAACGACGCAGCCATGCAAAGGCAATGAAAAGCGCAGAATATATAAAAGCTAATAATGACTGGTTAGATGCCCAAGCCAACGCTAAAGCAGCCCAACTTATAGGTCAATAAGGACAAAAATACAAGCGGATGAAGACAGTTCAAATGAAGCTTTAATGAATGCTGACTTTAAGAACGCCTTCGAAGCTCTTCATAGTAAGGTGAAACTAGTGAACGACTTCTCATCTGGAAAGAAACTGAAGTCTGAAGGTTTCGACAAAGAGTTAAGAGAAGTAGCACAAAATATGACGAAAATAACAGATGCAGCAACGAGACAGGCAGTTCAAAGTGCCTATGACGCCGTTAGAGCAACTGTTGTGGAAAGTCAAGAAAAAGAGTTACAACAGACCAAAACAGACCTAGTAAATGCTTTCTTAAGAACGAAAAGTCAGGTAGGACATTATGCTGCAGATGGAACATATGTGCCAGCTGGTGGAACTTATATACCAGCTGGTGGAACTTATATACTAGCTAGTGGAACTTATATACCACCAAACCCTCCAAGAGAAGCACCTGCACCAGGACTACCTAAAACATTTACATCGTCACATGGACACAGACACAGGCATGCACCAAAACCAACACAGCAACCAACAGTTCAAAACACTGCACCACAACCAACAGTTCAAAACACTGCACCACAACCAACAGTTCAAAACACTGCACAGCAACCACAAACAGAGCAAGGACATAAAAGAAGTAGAGAACAAGGAAACCAAGAATTCTTAAAAATGCTTAAGGAAAATTATGGTTACCCAGATACTCTTGACTTTAGTGACAGATATAAAGAAGCTATTAGAAAGTTCAAGGAAGGAAATACTGACCAGAACCTATTTAGCTTTATGGTTCAGCACCAAATGGGATATAATTTCAAACCTGGAAAATACAAGCTCGCTAAGGGATATGATTTAATAGCATATCATCCAAATGACATGACTGAATTTACTCCGAGATATTTGGTGTCAGAGATAAATGATAATTCAACTATCTTCATGAAACGCGTAAAAAATAGAGACGGAACGAAAGAAGAAAGGGTTATGAATGCGGATGGCTTAAATAGGGAACTTGTTAAAAACGGTCTCGGAATATATGAAATGCCAGCAGATGAGGTACAAGAAACTCCACAGGAAGAAGTTCAGATACAACCAGACATGGAAGAAATAGTTCAGCAACAACAGCTAGAAGAGCCTGAAGGAAACGAACAAGTCCCTCCTTTGGAAACTAACTTCACAGAACTAGATGAAGATTTGGAACAGCCGAAAAATCTTGACCCTCAACAAGAGTATGCGGAGAATATGGAATCTTTCCAAGAGTCTAAGAAAAATTCGGCTGACATAGTAGAAGAATATCGAAAAATGTTCGCCGACATACAAAAGACTCCAACATCAGATGAAAATATTCAGCATAGAATGGAAGAACTGAAAGAAAGCGTACGCAAATACAACAATCCTTTTTACTTACGACCATATAACGTTCAATCTTTGGCTGAACTCGGTGAAAATAAAAGGTTAAATTTCAACAAAACATATAGAAATGAAACATTGTTTAAAGTTCATTCAGAACCTAACCAATATGGAAACAAACCTACTTTTGTTTCTGCAGACTATGGAACTACAATGAGATGGGGTCATAAAGCTAATCCGGATAGGTGGTTCATAAACTTACAACCACAATTCCAAGAAGTTGTAGACGCAATGGAAGTGAATGGTGAACCAGATATAGCTGGTATTTTCAGCGCGGCTTTAATGCCATTGAAAGATATGAAAGATGCAGATATTTTGAACCAGTATGAAATGAACATGGCTGATGGAAATATAACACCTGACGTTCTAAAACATTTATCTCAAAGAACTACACAGAACCATAAAGATGGTATATTTGGTGAAGAGTTTAGAAAGAAAGTTAGGGAGATAGAAGGAAGAGAACCTATTGTACATGACCTTGCAAACGAAAGTTTGCAAAATGTCATAAAAACTTA